GGAGGATCAGGGTCAACCTGGGAGCTCTGAGGGGAAAGAGGGAATGAAGCTGTCAGAGACAGAGACAGAGCCTTAGCCATCAAAAGGAGAGTCAACAGCCCCCAGGTCTTGAGGTGGCTGATGAGGAAGAGGAGGAACAGCTGGGTCCAGTGCCTGACGCATGGATGCCCAGAAGGCAGAGGAGAGGAGAGCAGTGGAAATTTATGGGCTGGTCCTCGGGATGGAAGAGCGACCGCTGCTAGTGAAGCCCCACCCTACCTCTGGGGATAAAAGTCAGGGGGTGGAGATGAATAGGTCTGGCACACAACTATTCATCTTCTGGCTGGATGGACTTGTTAGCCTACAAGATAAAACTTTTTGCCGGGGCTACCAGCATTCCTAATAAAGGAATATTTTGAGTTCACTTCAGAGGGTTTGTCGTGTTTGGAGAGCTGCGTCAGAACATGGGGTTTAAAAAATTATTTCACTAATTAAATACATTTAATATGTTACTGTTACTTACATGTTTTCTTCTCCAACGATACAAATGGCAGAGAGTATTTTCACGGTTTCAGTCATCATGTTTGGTTGCTTTGGATCAATTGCTCTGGCAAGCAAGAGAAGGCTTCGTTCGTCTCCCAGTATTCTTTGTAGTCCATACTTGAAAGGGGAGAAGGAATGGTTTAAAAGATATGCGACTGCAGCACACTCAATCTTCAAGTCTTACAACCCCTAAACAAAGCTCATCAATTTGACCTTTTGCTTTCTTGCATTTCGTTTTCTTTGGGGTGGTTTGAGTTGCTACCTCTTGTACAATGTTGAGAACCCTCCATCCATAGTTCTTCAGGCACTCTGCCTATCAGATCTAATTTATTTATTTATTTTATTTATTTATTTGATTTGCCAATTGTTTACAAGATAATAAGTATAAGTGTATACATAGTTGTGAATACATGAAATGGGTACATATAAGAAAAATAAAAGAAGAATAAGAGAAACAATAGGACAGGGACGGTAGGCACGTTGGTGCGCTTATGCACGCCCCCTACAGACCTCTTAGGAAAGGGGTGAGGTCAATAGTAGACAGTCTAAGGTTAAAGTTTTTGGGGTTTGGGGAAGAAACTACAGAGTCGGGTAGAGTATTCCAGACATTGACCACTCTATTGCTGAAGTCGTATTTCCTGCAATCAAGTTTGGTGCGGTTAACTTTGAGTTTGTATCTATTGTGTGCTCTTGTGTTGTTATGGTTGAAGCTGAAGTATTCATTGACAGGTAGGACATTGCAATGTATGATTTTATATACCATGCTTAAGTCAGACCGAAGACGGCGTAATTCAAGGTTTTCTAGTTCTAGAATTTCAAGTCTGGTGGCATAAGGTATTCTACAACGAGTAGAGGAGTGGAGAACTCTTCTTGTGAAATATTTCTGGACTTTCTCAATTGTGCTAATATCAGATACGTAATGTGGGTTCCAGACTGATGAACTGTATTCGAGTATTGGTCTAGCAAATGTTTAATCTATTTATATATTCATCAGGGATATGATTTACTTCATACCTGAGTGGCCTACTGCTTTTCCCTACTTTCTTCAATTTTGGAACAAGAAGCTCATGATCTGAGCCACAGTCAGCTCCTCAGTTACACGCTCCTCAATTACAAAGTTCTGAAAGAACCAGATATGGGGAGATGGGAGTACGGCAGCAGCCAAAAAAGCTAACACAATCCTTGGTGCTATAAACAGAGGCATAGAATCAAAATCATGTGAAGTATTAGTACCGCTTTATAAATCCGTAGTAAGAACACACCTGGAATACTGCATCCAGTTTTGGTCAACACATTACAAAAAAGAGGCCAAGACTTTGGAAAAAGTGCAAAGAAAAGTGACTAAGATTATGATTAAAGGCCTGGAGACAAAAACATATGAAGAATGGTTGCAGGCCAGTCTAGAGGAAAGTACTAGGGGTGACATGATAGCAGTATTGAAGAATTTGAGGGGCTGCCACAAAGAAGAGGGGAGTCAATTTATTTTCCGAAGCACCAGACAGCAAGACAAGAAACAACGGATGGAAAATAATCAAAGAAGCAACCTGGAATTAAGAAGAAACTTCCTAACCATGAGGACAATTAACCAGTGGAACAGCTTGCCACCAGAAGTTGAAGGAGCTTCATCACTGGAGGTTTTTAAGAAGAGACTGGACAGTCACTTGTCTGAGATGGTTTAGGGTCTGCTTCTTAAGCAGGAGGCTGGACTGGAAGACCTCCAAGGTCCCTTCTAGTTCTATTCTGATTGATTGAGGTAGAAATATCTATGCAACCTCATCTTCATATTATGGCTTCTTGTCCATTCTTTAGCCCAATTCAGGTGCCTGATGTACAGGTTTAAAGACCCTTCCAGGATACCTGAAAGATCAGCTTTTTCCTTTTTACAGTTACAGATCTTAGGTTGTCAAAGATGTCCTATCAGAAAACTACTTAATAAAGATAACCGCTCCAATTATGGAACGTCATTTTTCAGATAAGACTTGCCTGGAGCTTTTTTTAATGTTCCATTCAGTGAACATTTTTAATGTGTGATTAATAACGATAAAGAGACCCGCTAGAACCCCACAGGCCCACTAGTCTTTGCTTAGTGTAATCAGTTCTGGTGAAACAAATGCCTCTCCCAAAACCATTCTTATTTTTAAATTGGTTTGGAGATTTCATTTGGAACTACAGAGGCCAATAGGGCAGGTTCTCCTTATAACCTCTTTGGTGCTTACAGAGCTACAATTTGCAGAAGCACATAGCGATCAGGAGTAAACCCCTTATGTGGATAACAAGAATGAACCTCTAATTTAAGGGTTAGAGTCTCACATATGGGCAGAGGTGAGACACCATAACATGACATTATCCCCAATCTTGAAGAACATTTTTCTCAAAATTCTTCATGTGAAGCTACAGGCTCCCGGAGTGTTCTCAATCAGCATTACACAACAGCATCATCCTATAGGACAAGGGTCTCCAACATTAGCAACTTTAAGACTTGTGGATTTCAACTCTCAGGATTCCTCAGACAACTTTGCTGGAAGTTGAAGTCTTAAAGTTGCCAAGGTTGGAGACTCCTGTTCTATAGCATCAATGGAGGAATTGATGGAGACAATTGAGTCTCACCAAGTTCAATGAAACATACTATAAACAAAGGACAGGTTTCTAGAAAAAAAAGAAATTACCCATATGTAGAAAATACCTAGTATACTGGGAAAAACAGGTTTTTTTTCCCGAAAGCCATCACTCTGCTAAACAAATAATCTCCTCAACACTGTTCAACTATTACGTCTGCACTACTATCAATCTTCTCATCACTCCTTATCACCTATCCCCTCCCACTTGTGACTGGATTGTAACTTTGTCGCTTGTATCCTTACGATTTAATATTGACTTTTTCTTGGTATGATTTGATTGCTTATTGTACCCTATGACTATCACTAAGTGTTGTACCTTATGATTCTTGATGAATGTATCTTTTCTTTTATCAATACAGAGTATTTGCACCAAGACAAATTCCTTGTGTGTCCAACCACACTTGGCCAATAAAGAATTCTATTCTATTTTAAAAAGATGATGTGTTTATTAAAACATTGCAAATGTGTATTTTTGGCTATGCTTATCAGGGAGATAATTGTATTTCATGATGGAAACACAGCTTGAATGTTACATAGCTTGTTATTTCCCTGCCTATGTTCTCTTAATGCTGTCTTTTTTTTTTTTCTATGAAAAAGGAAATTTCCCTAGAAAATTATTTTTTTAAGTCTTGCCAGTGATAGACAAACCACATGGAAGTAAAACCAGAAGGAGATTTTGGTTTCTCTGTATATTTCTGAACATCCCTTTAGAAATACACTGGGAATAATTCAAGTAGTTCAAGGGCACTTCCACACCCTCACATAGCCCCCTACATCCTCTTCCTAAAATTAAAGCACTCTGACCTCACTAAATTTGGCCTCCAGGTTCACAAGGAGATTGGAGAGTTTTATCTAAAGTTGGGTTACTCATACAAGTTTTATTTTTTATGATATTATCTTGGGATCCGTATCACTGAAGCTTTGTAATGAGCAGAAGGAGTGACCTTGAGGGGAAGAACAGCTGCTTCCTAGACAAAAATCAGATAAAAGAAACCTGAGTTTGGAGCAGAGCTGTAACCTGAAAAAAGAAAATCTCTGATGAGGCCTTCCCTAGTTTTCACGAAGATAAAGGAGTGGGGAGGCATTCCAAGATTTGGTTAGTGTATCTTCATAATAAAAGTAATATTAGCCTGCATGACTTTGGCTTTCTAGTCTGGAAGAGCTGACCTTTAAAAAATGTGAAGGTTTTAGGGGTGTTTTTTTCCAGTTCTCATAAGAAAAGGAAATGTTTCGGTATACTTGGTAGAGTTCTCAAACCTTGAAATAACATATGAATTGGTTTCGCCTTATTCCAAATTCTTTGCTGCAATATGAAACTACAGGCAAACCATCATCATTAGTAGATCAAATTTCCACTTCATTAAAGTCATCTCTTTCTTTAAAGACAGTCGTTCATTACCAGTTAAAGTGAACCTAACAGAAGGGGGGAGAATAAAAATCAGCCAGGGCTGAAATTCCTACCTTATTATTCATAAACGCTTTGAGGCACTGTATAAGCTTATGTTGATTTTTCTTGTCAATACTTTCTTGCCTGAAAATTAATAATAATAACATTAACTGAGGGTCCTATATTAATCACTCTTTTTTGCTTCCCCTTATTACTTCTTATATCTTCTATACTTACTGCCTCTTATCAAGGAGTTTTTCAAGGACATCCAAGAGAAGCCCAAGGCCTTCATGTCCAAAATTGTTAACCCAACTGTAAAAAAAAGTAAATTGCAAATTAGTTCATGCTTGCTCCATATACACGTAAACTTTCTGATGACTGATTTTTTTTCCAATTTTTTTATTGAATATGTATTAAAATATTGGATACAGTGTGACCTTTCTGGCATTTGTCTTTGCCATACATATTATAACATAAAACAATCACCTTCTACTCATCAAACATTGCTAAATTTGGACTATTAACATATCCAGTATATTCATTTATATTTACAACATAAAACCTCATGTTTTGCTATTTTTATACAATCGTTTTATCCATCATATTCCATTGTATTTACATAAATATCATCCAATTTCAATTCTACAAATCATCATCATTTTCTGTTCTGACTCCTCCTCAGCTCCAACCATTGGCACATTTTATTCCAAACTTCATAATATTCTGTATCTCCTTTGTTTTTAAGTTCTAATGTCAGTCTGTCCATCTCTGCACAAATCAGTATTTCTTTTATTATCTCTCTTTCAGAAGGAATCTCTTTGTTTTTGTTTTGTTTTTTCAATTTTGGGCATAAACCGTTCTTGCAGCTGTTATGACGTGCAGTATTAGATATACCGACCCTTTGCTATCTCTCTCTTGTACAATTCCTAATAGGAATAGTTCTGGTTTAAATTCTGTGTTTTGGGCTGACGACTGATTATTGCTTACCTACAGGACTTCCAGCATGGCTTATGCAGATGCTAAGTTTCCATGCTTAACAAAAGTTAACAGAAATTTGTACTCAAAATATAAGAGGCATCATTCACTTATCAATCACCAGCATTACAAATGGAAAGTCCAAATTTTAACCAAGAGAGCAGAATAACAGAAGGACAGTGTTGGGAAGGATCTTGGAGGTCTTCAAGTCTAACCCCCTTGTGTAGGGTTTTTCTCAAGCAGGAAGCTTGAGAAAGCTTGAGGGGTCCTCAACCTTGGCAACTTTAAGACTTGTGGACTTCAGTTCCCAGAATTCTTCAGCCAGCATAGCTGGTTCTGGAAAATTCTGGGAGTTGAAGTCCACAAGTTGTAAAGTTGCCAAGTTTGGAGACCTCTGCCCTACACCGTTTCAGACAAAATGGCTGTCCAACAAAATGTTTAAAAAGTCATAATATTTATGTAGTTATTTACCAAACACATCTACATTATATTAAAGTGACCCAAACATATTTACAACTCGCAAGGCATGTCACAACTTTTGAGCACCCCTAAGGTTTGGAATTTGAAAGCTGAAACATTTGACACATCCTACATCATCCAATGCCTTCTCAGAAACCTCCAGTGTTGGAATCAAACTACTGGATACAGATCTTATTTTTCTATTGTTGCCATGTGAAGCACTTCATTTACAGATGCAGTATGTTTATAAAACTATAACCAATTGACAGGATAAATCTGGAATGCACAATTTCCTATTTTCTAAAGCATGCCTATGCAGGCAAATCCACCTCTGAAAGAAATCTAACACCTCAGCCTTACAATAATTAACTTTATTCTAATTGGTTTTTCCCCTCTCTCTATTTCCAGAAAAGTATTATTTTGACGTTTATATACTTGATCCTCAATTTTCCACACAGATGAACTGCCACAAAAATACAAATAATTAAAATGAGCAGAGACACTTACAACGCCATCACAATGACAATGCTGTATTTGATTATTTCAAATAACTTATACTTAGCATCTAAAGTTTAGCTCTTGAATGGAAGATAAATGAGTAGAACATTAAAAGTGTCAAAATTCGTAACATTCTGTTAATGGTTTAAGCTTTCTGAAACTTTAAGACATCCACTAAATCCTAAATATGGTTTCTGTTTCAAAAATGCACGACTAGCATCCTCTCCCCACCATTTTTTGATAAAACTCAAAGATTCTGGACATTGGCATGAGAAACATCAAGAAGCAGCAATTAAATCTAGAACTCCAGAACATTTGAGCAGTTGGGTTTCTCTATGTGTGTTCATGTTTGCAGTTGTTTATTGGTTTACCTTTGGCGTGCATGCAAACTCAAGTCACTAGATGTCCCTGCAGAGCCATCAAGGTTAAAACTGATTACCAATTGAGAAGCACTTCAGAACGTGCATTTTAAAGAAAACTCAAGAGGAGTCAGAATCAAAAAGTCTACAAAATAACACAATGAAATTAGGAAACGGAGGGACTCCAAGACATTCATACAATTAATAATAAGCCATGCAAACCGTCCTCAATTTTCTATGACATTTGAAGAGCTCTGGCTTTTGCAGCTCTGGAAGTTAAATTTGCAGTGATGATGTAATTCTGGAACATTTCTCTTACAGAAGATCAAGCCTTTTTGGTTTTGCCAGATTTTACGTCAATGATGAAGAACTGATAGCCCCATTTTCTGAAGTTGGAAGCCCCTCAAAATATAGTGAAGTTCTAAAAATGGTAATTTAATTTAGAAAAATAAAGGAATTCTTCAAACCCAGGGAAGGAAAGGAAGGGAAGGGAAAAGAAAGGGGGGAAAGGAAGGAAGGAGGGAGGGAGGGAGGGAAGGAAGGAAGGAAGGAAGAAGGGAGGGAGGGAGGGAGAGAGAGAGGGAAGGAAAAAAGGAAGGAAGGAAAACATTTAAAAGAAAAGATAATGAACACTCATCACTCAGGGTAGTGATGGAACGAGAAGCGACATTTATACAGAATAAGTGAAAATATTAAAACATTTACAGACATATTTTTCTGATAGAACCCAACAATACCAAATTCAGCTGTCTGTTAAAAGGGAATTTCAAAGGCAGCTGAACAAAGGCAGTGGCTGAAACTACAGAAGCAATTGAGAGCACCAAAATATAGATAAGTCGAAGCATCGCCCTTTAACAAAAAAGGACAATGAAGAGTAAAAAACAAACCCAACAACTAAAAGGGAAAGTATGGGGAAAGTTTAATGCAGCCTTGCAAAACAGAGATAACACTCATTGGTGAGAAGAATGCTAGAGCAATTAATAGGCACAGGGGAATTCTGAAAGAGTTGATTTCCTTACACTCAAAATACAAACAGTTTTGAGCAACTCTCAAAAATAGGTCTCCAAGGACTCAAATCACTTTCTCTACCTTTATTTTGTTAGTTACATCTCAAAGTCATGTTTACTCAAGGCTAGGAGGTGGTTGATCAAGTAACAGTTCCCACCTCCTTCCACTCCACCCTCCGCCCTCCCCATGTGTCACTAATTTTTAATGTTTGGTTTTAATTTATTTATGTTTTAATGTCCATGTGTACCTACATGTTTATGATTGCAAGCCACCCAGAGTTACCCTCTGGTAAGATTAGTTCAATCAAATCAAAAGGCCTTTGAACTCTGGTGCTGGAGAAGACTCCTGTGAGTCCCTTGGACTGCAAGGCCATCCAACCGGTCAGTCCTAGAGGAGATCAACCCTCTTTAGAAGGCCAGATCCTGAAGATGAAACTCAAAGACTTTGGCCACCTCATGAAAAGGAAGGACTCGCTGGAGAAGAGCCTAATGCTCGGAACAGTTGAGGGCAAAGAAGAAGAAGAAGAAAGGGACGGCAGAAAAGGAGGTGGAGGGATGGAGTCATTGAAGCAGTAGGCGTGAGTTTAAATGGACTCCAGAAGTTGGTAGAGGACGGGAAGGCTGGAGGAATGTTACCAATAGGGTTGCGATGGGTTGGACACGACTTCGTGACTAACAACAAGAAGATTAGTTTACTTTATTTAGTTTATTTTATTGTCACTGCACCTCATACAACGAAATTAAATGCCATCTTCAGTGTACATTATAACTATAAAAATAACACACAAACACACATCCTTCGCATTCGATACAACAGAATTGAAAAGATGAGCGGCCAATAAATTTTATAAATTAAAAATAATAATAATTACACATTGATTTCTTTTGCTCATTTCACCACAATCAGCAAAAGAAAAGGATTCTTAGAAGTATATTTTATACTGTTCAAGTATGATAAATACTGCAAATGGTAAGGACCAGTGAGGAAATAGAATGTATTTTTCAAACAAATAATAAATGGCAATTAATGGCAAATGGTATAACCCCAGACCAAGGATCCCTGTTTCTAAATAACGTGGGTCAAAAATGAAAATTGTTATTACTTTCTTTCTACTGGAGCATAAACTATACTACCAAGCATGCCAAAGAGTTATTACAGAGGGTACCTTGGTGAGTTATTTCAGATACATTAAGATTTATTGAATAATGTATTTAACGTCTCTGGGTAGGACCTGCTTTTAAAAGCTCTGTGTAATGAACTTATTTTTCATCCATCCATGTACACTTTCATGTGGTTTATTATTTTCAGCTGTTCTTCGGGGTTAAGGTGTCACAGTAAAATTTGGATTCTGGTTTTCTTATAACATTCTCCTTAATGTTTTGGACAAAACAAGAGGAGATCTATTCTTTTAGGAGATGTATTATTCCAGTTTATTATCTGTCTTCAAGAAATCACTGTTAGTTCTTCCAAAACAAAGGGAAGAAATGGCAATGAAAATTCAAAAGACCTACACATTAATAATTGGAAATAAATGCCATTTCCAACGGCCACTGAAAATATGGTTTGGCTTCCATAACAGCCAGATCACAGGCATAAAGCTGTTCTTAAGATCACTAAGTTGTAGTTATTTATTAAATTTATAAGTCACCCAATTTCCCATGACTCTGGGCAGTTAATCCAGGCAGAAGACATTCTAGCCCAGTCTATTATGCTGATAATGATTTTAGCTCCTGAAAGTAATATAATATATTCAGTCATTCATAATTTAGTAATGGTGTACCAGAAAACTATTCCCTTGTATAATTTCTATATTTTTAATACTTTTTTATTCATTTGTACTTTATTCGCTTATCTTTATCTGTTTTCTATTTCTGTTTTGTTTGTAGATTTTCTTCAAAAGCGCTTTTAAAAATATAATATGCAGGACCTCCTGAACTTTTCCAGAGGAAAACCACTGAATGAGAATTGGAAACAAGAAAGTTACGGGAATATACAATACTCTTCTCAAGATCTGAGTTTATTTCCTAGTCTCTCTGCCTGCATATTTTAAGTTCATGTGCTTGAGTTACATAGTTTCTTTGTTTGCTGAAAATAAATAGGAATTCTCAAAATAACAATATGCTTCTGTATTTTTACAGCAACTCTTTGATCATACAAGTGTCAGCAGAACTATGCTATTTTTCATGTATAAATTATTGCTAGGCAATGTACTCATACAACACTTCCTTATTTTAGTACCAACCACCTACCCCAAAAATGAATACTGACAAGTCACATGGAAACAAATAGTCAGTCAGTCTGTCTGTCTGTCTGTCTGTCTGCCTGCCTGCCTGCCTGCCTGCCTGTCTCACCAGCTCAAGGTTGACTCAGCCTTCCATCCTTCCAAGGATGGTAAAATGAGGACCCAGATTGTTGGGGGCTATATGCTGATTCTGTAAACCTCTTAGAAAGAGCTGCAAAGCACTGTGAAGTGGTATATAAGTCTAAGTGCTATTGCTATCTATCATCTACCTAAAGCACTGTGAAGTGGAATATAAGTTGAAGTATTATTTCTATCTATCTATCTATCTATCTATCTATCTATCTATCTATCTATCTATCTATCTATCTATCTATCTATCTATCATCTAGTTAGCTAGCTAGCTAGCTCTATCCACCAGAGCTGTGGTGGCACAGTGGTTAGAATGCAGCATTGCAGATTAATTCTGCCGACTGCCAAACAGTGCGATCCTAACCAGCTCAAGGATCCTGATCGGCTCAATCCTTCCATCTTTCTGAAGTCAGTAAAATAAGGATCCAGATTGTTAGGGGCGATACGCTGACTCAGGAAACTGCTTAGAAAGGGTTGTAAAGCACCATGAAACAGTAAATAAGTCTTAAGTGCTAAGTGCTCTATCTATATCTATCTATCTATCTATCTATCTATCTATCTATCTATCTATCTATCTATCTAGTTGAATTGACAATAAATTAGTTACTCAGATACATGTAAAAAACAGGACTTGAATGAGCTACAACACTTCACTAAAAGCATAACTAGTTTAGTCCAGAAGCCAGTTCATAATTTTCGTTTCCTGGAAATACATGGGGAAATTACATTGGGATGGAATTCCACTTAGGGTTAGGGTTGGATTTGGAAAAGAGAAAACAAATATCACCCATAGATTCACAGAGGTTGATTATCCTTCGAGGTTTCTTACATTTCCAATCCCCCTTATTTTCATTTCCTGGATAATCCATGGGAAATGCTAACAGGCAAAGGAGTAACTTTTCAACATCCTGTTTAAGGACAGGGGTTGCATTTCTGGAAAGCAGACTTGCCAAAATCCCCTGCATATCAAGTGGGACAAACTGTCAAGCCCAGTTTAATGTATTCTAATTGCAAAGTTAAAGACAGCTTGAGGGTAGGTTCTGAATGCAACAAGGCAAAATATTAGCACACCGGCCATATGTTGGTGCATATAGAAGTATTCACAGCTTACCCATCAACAGCATTAATGTTCAGCCCTGTGCCTCATTTACCAGAGGTAAATAACATCAATCCCTTAAAATCTGAAGCTGAAAAAAATAAAGAGCCTATCCTTCCAATACGGTTTCAAGGAAAGTGGCTTTACACAGTGTACGAGCATATCAATTCATAATCTACTGTGTTGGAGTCATTTGATTTATACGAGTTGCTATCTTGTGTTTAATAGCAATAGAAATTGCACATAGACTTATATACCACTTCACAGTGTTTTACATCCCTCTCTAAGCATTTTACAGTGTTAGTCTATTGCTCCCAACAATCTGGGTCCTGATTTTTAACAAACTCAGAAGGATGGAAGGCTGAGTCAATCTTGAGGCGGTCAGGATCAAACTGCTGGCAGTGGGAAGAATTAGCCTACAATACTGCATTCCAACCACTGCACCACCACAGCTACTAAGACCTACTACTTGGCAGAGAACTTTTTCTTGTCTTTTAATGACCCTGTAATCCCTTGCATCGGGGTAAAATCAGAGCAACAGAATGGAGCTGAATGAACAGAATGGAACTGGCCGGATGCCTTTTCTGTCGCCAACGCGGAGTTCACACCAGATATATTCTCATTGCGCCCAGAGAGAGAAATATCTGCCGCTACCTAGGATCGAACTCACAGCCTCCTGATTGTGAGGCAAGAGCTCCACCTCTAGGCCACTGCACAGCCCTGACAGAGAACTAGATAAATAAGATAATAGAAAGCAAAACAAAAAAAAACACCCACTGAATATGTGGCTTTTTGATGTGATTGGTCTAAATCCTACATTTTGTTTCAACTTGGCATACAATATTTTGCAAATTCCTACTCTGCAACACTTGTGAATAACAATTTCCCAAACCTACCTTACTGGATTGCTTGTCAAAGAAACCCTCAGAGATTCTAAGCAGTTGAGAAGTTTCTCTTCCGAGATACCCGATCGTAGTTCATGGACATATTCCTGCGACGACAGTGTGCACTCGTGTTTACTGTTTTTCAGGCCACCCTTAATAAGAAAAAAAAAAACCAAGGGACAAACTTAATTTTGGGAAACAAAAGTTAGTTGACGCATGTAATCAAAGAAAAGCAACTTTATTTCTCCAGGCTCCACTTCTTAGTAAAGTTCTCTACATGCCCAATGAACCTAACTCTGCAGATATAATTACTTACTTAACTAGGCTCGGGTTATTGGATTGTACAGTTCCTATCCTTTCATTTTCTTACGGACTTATCCTCTCACCCAACTTTAGCTGGGATAAAAGTTAGGACTGAATCAATTTAACCATGTAATTCTAATGACAGTCATAATTCTCATGGGAATTTGGTTTTAAGAAGATACATTTAAAAAAAAAAAGTCTTAAATCCCTACAGACCTACACAGTTAAAATGGTATCTTAAATTCCCTGCGTGTTCTATATTGTATTAATGTGTTCAATTAAGTGTCGTATATAGGAGAAGAAAATTGGCATATTATTATTTTTTAAAACAACTGTTATACACATGCATACAGAGAGAGAGAGAGCAAACCTTCCTTAGTAAACAAGAGGAAACAAAACAGTGGTGGGATTCAAAAATTTTTACTACCAGTTCTGTGGTTGTGGCTTGGCTGGACATGGACATGGCATGGCTTGATGGGTGTGGCTTGGTGGGCATGGCAGGGGAAGGTTACTGCAAAATCCCATTCCCTACCCACCCAGTAACCAGCTTTCCAGCTCCGTTCTCCTGTGCAGGGCAACCGATCAGCTGGGACTTGGGAGGCAGAGAATAGATGGGGGCAGGGCCAGTCAGAGGTTGCATTTGCTGGTTTTCCGAACTACTCAAAATTTCCACTACCGGTTCTCCAGAATTGGTCAGAACCTGCTGAATACCACCTCTGAAACAAAACCAGATGAGCTAAATCTACTTTATTGTAAGGTTACTGTCAGCCTTGGAAGCCATTTTTTTTACTTGGAAGGCTGCCACATTCAATGCCTGAGAATTTGGGAGGGGGGGTTTCATAGTGGAGTAAAAGACTAGACACAACAACACTCTTTCTCAGAGAGTCAAGGACATGTTGCCCTGCACCAGGAGAGGAGTGTTTGGAGGGATGTCTCCAGTTGGGACAAAGATTTGATTGGGCCATGTGATAGACTGATGGGTGCAGGCAGGGGATGGATCTTTGATTTCTCTTTTGGGAAGGGAATACCTGGAACTCTCAGATTTGGGTTTTCCCAGGTGTGCCAATATGACAACTCTAATAAAATGGAACTTTGAGGAATTGTTTGTCTCAGAGTTTATTGGGTTGGAGTTGGTCGGTTGGAACACTGACAGTTACATTAACAGATTCTTACAAGTTTGAGAGTACAAACTTCCTGGCAGCCATTTTTAATTGCTATACCTGTTAAGGGAAGTCCTTTTTAGTTTCTTTCTTTGGCTATTAACTAAGTGGGGATTCCACCTTCTCTTGCTTGATTATTTCATAGGCAGCATCTTCTCTACCTGATCCTAAGATTATTCATGTATCCATGACATAGACATAGACATATAGACATATACATATAGACATATATAGACATATATATAAATAATGTTATTCAGCTTTGTTCGGGTATTTTCCCACGTCATTATAGTTGTGCTTTTAAAGTTGTAGCAACGTTTCGGCAGAATCTCATCTGCCATCATCAGGCTTCTGTATAGTGTTAGTCTGTGACTCAGAGACAAACACAATACAGAAGCCTGATGATGGCAGATGAGATTCTGCACAAGTAATGTTAAAATAAATATCAATAATTCAGTTGTCCCTTTTCTCAATAATAAATAAAAAATAGCAGACACTGATTTGGGCATCTCTAAAATATTAATTCTACATGTATACAGGTTTATTTCTTCCCAAACATTAAAATGATTGTATTTGAATCACCACTAAAAAGGGCATCCATACTCAGAAACGTTAGCTGATATTAATTCTTATAAATGTTTAGAAATCCCTAACCCATTTCCTGAAGTACTCAGTCTTTGGAACTTCAAAATTTCTCAATTCTTGCCCGTCGAGAAGAATCTAACTTACTTTTGCACCTTAAAACAGCTCTTGAGTCCCCTGCCATTGCAAATAATAAGTAATAATGCAAATAATAATATTCCAGATGGTTAGGAGATGCATTGAATCCAAATAATTTCTCAATATACTTCTTAATGATCCCTCTGCATATCACCATTCGAATGCCACCAACCTAAGATTTTGTTTATTTGTTTAAATTGAGAAAAAAAAATAACCTATAGAGGGGAAAAGAGATTCTCAGTAGTAAATTTCCCCACTGTAACATTTCTCCTAATCTGGCTGGAGAATTTGAAGCCCTAGATCTCCGGTCTAACTCAACATTTTGCATTCAGAATATTAAGTATCTACTCACAGGCTAATTTTTAATACATATCCTGCTGGAAATTATGGTGTGTGTTTACACATGTACTAAGAAATGCGATGTGTTCTGCACATACAATGCCAAAAAAATATTTAAACAGATGTTCAAGTTTTAAGGCAAAACTATTTTAAGATCCTGAAAATCTATGTACAGCAGCTTTCCCGACCATGTTTACTTTAAATAAACATAGAGGACTATAAAATTTATATGTGAAAAATAAAACTTCTGAGCTGCTTATTTGTTTATTTCTCTTCTATGGCTGCTTGAGCTTGCTTTAAAATTGTGACTAACAACAAAGGTTATACCACAATAAGAAAATACGCCAGGTTTAATTTAATGAAGATGCCATGGGCTGCAAAACTAATATTGATGCATTAGATATCTATTAGGTATAATGTTGAGGTACCTTCATTTGCCGATTTCCAGTCATTCTAATCAGATCCAGATTTTTTCATCCTTTTAAGCCTATAAAATTTACCACATGGCTTTTATGATGGAAAGGGACAGAGGGTGAGAGCATAACTGCACACAGGGAAAGAAATTAATGCAGTCTAACATGCACTGCCTTGCCATAGCCAGCTCCAATGAACACACGTACACCCTTTCACCTTTCCTCCCATTACCTTGTAAGTTGTATCAGAAGGCAAACATCTTTCATAATGTTGATTCTCCATTTATAGTCACATCATCGCATGTACAACAAGAGTTCAAAGCCATTTGTTTCAGGAAGGGCAAGAAGAATAGGTTTGACCTCTAGACCACTTCACATTGTTTTATACCGCCATTGATCAAAAGGCTCTGCATAACGCAAATGTACAAAGCCAATTATAGGGCACAAAAGTCAAAAGGCGATACTCATTAGCGCTGGAGAAGAAAGAGTATATTTCACGTGTCAATAATAATGGCCAATTCAGCATTTTCCAGTCACTGTTGAGGAACTTCAAAAGAGCTGCAACCTAACTTGCAAGCCCAGTTAACGTAAACAACGTTTAGACATGCACACATTTGTGTTATTATGTGTAGTGATATCCAAATCTACCACTTTGTGTAGTCCTAATATTCTTATTAGAGTAACTAAGATTAGTAGGCAGAAACAGGAGATAACATCTTTAACTTTGTAAGCCACCCAGAGACATCTTATGGCGAGATGGGCGGCAAATAAACTTAATAATAATAATCTTAGAATGTGTTTGTTTATTTCCACCCCCCATCTCATATCCAATGATTCTGGGCAGCTTACCAATATAATTCCATGAGAGCCAGTCTCAAGCCTATTAAAATGGCTGAAAACAATTGCCTAAACATTCAGTTTTTGCAGTTAACATTTTTACTGAGTTATAAACAGAGGTGGTATTCAGCAGGTTCTGATCAGTTCTGGAGAACCGGTAGCGGAAATTTTGCATAGTTTGGTGAACCGGCAAATCCCACCTCTGACTGGCCCCGCCCCCATCTATTCTCTGCCTCCCGAGTCCCAGCTAATCAGCTGGGTCTTCTTTTGTTGTCCTGCATAGGAGAACGGAGCTGGAAAGCAGGTTAGTGGGGTGGGAAGGGAATGGGGATTTTGCAGTAACCTTCTCCCAGGAGTGTGGAGGGAATGGGGATTTTGCAATAACCTTCCCTTGCCACGCCCACCAAGCTATGCCCACAGAACTGGTAGTAAAAAAATTTGAATCCCACCACTGGTTATAAAGTATTATCAACTACAAAGTAAATAGATAAGCAATGTGGGGGGGGAAGGGGAAAGAGAAGTGAGGAAAGATAAGAAAAGAAAAAAGAAAAAGAAGCATTGACTTAGACTCTCTCTGGTACAGAAAATAAGGCATTAATATCAAATCAAAACTTTTTGCTTTTGGGGAGTATGATTCATATTTTAAATTCAGAAAATTTTGAAAATGGAGGTAAAAATGAAATCAGAACTTTTCCTTTTGGGCTTAATGGTAAAAGAACTGGGGGGAAAATCGGACCTTTGTTATTATATATGTTGACTGCAGCAAAGACTATTATTATATGCACAAAAATGGAAGGACGCTTTGATTCCTACTATGGACGAAGTTGAAGGAGTTGGCTGAAATGGCAAAATTGATCACTTTGATTAAAGAAAAGAACACAAGTACTTTTGTTTCCACATGGAAACCGCTTCTGAACTTCGTGCTTAATGTGGAAAAGAATGAAGCTCTTGATTTTACCAATTAGACAGATAGATCTTTACAGAAATGGCTTGTTCATATTATTATGAAAAAGCAAAAAAGTTGTGATTTGATGTTAACTGCCTAAACATTCCGAACATATGAAGGGGATCAGAATAACTACTTTATAAATGTCTACCTATAGAAATAATAAATGAATAAGGTAATAAATAATAATAAAAATAATGGTTCAGTGGCTAAGACACTGAGCTTGTCGATCAGAAAGGTCAGCAGTTCGGCAGTTCAAATCCCTGGCGCTGCGTAACAGAGTGAGCTCCTGTTACTTGTCCCAGCTTCTGCCAACCTAGCAGTTCGAAAGCACGTAAAAAACGCAAGTAGAAAAATAGGGACCCCTTTGGTGGGAAGGTAACAGTGTTCCATGCGCCTTTGGCATTTAGTCATGCCAGCCACATGACCATGGA